ATGGCTGTACATGTCCACAGATAATCCTGAAAGAGAGGGGGACAATTTATTATTGGACAACCTGCAGTTGATGTGGGAACGTTTTGAAAATGGCAGAACTTATAAACCGGACAACTGTGTGGACAAATCATATCAATAAATACTATCCAGTTCATCACTAAAAGCAAATAAACTGTAGAAACATATTATGCTTTTTGTATGAGATATAATAAGTTTCCTTAACATTGAGAAAAGTCCATTGATGTAATCCATTTAGATATATGATTTAATTCATTACTTAAAATGAACTACCAATCAACATGAACAGGCTGTCGGATATTGTCTGCAAATAAAAATAGGCACGACAAGTTCTTGCAGTCCAAAGAAGCGGATGACTGCTCCTAGTCTGGTAGTTGTCGTGCTCAATATGCTAAAAATAATCATTAACGGGGCAGATTCTGGAGAATTTCACATGCACTAAAAGCACGTCGGCCCAGCTAAGTCAACAAAAGTGAGCAGAGATTCGGTTAACAACACACACACACACACACACACACACACACACACACACACACACACTAAGAAGACCCTTGTACATAAAATCAGATGAATTCCGTATTATTAGTAGTATCATCTCTGGTGTAGATCTCCCATCAAATATATTAAGGAGTTGGTGCAGACCTTCAGAGACGAATCAACGCAATTCTTCAATCACAACCAAACCACCCGTAATTGTGAGTGTTTCATTCTCCATTTCATGCTTGAAATGTCCTCTTCTGTAGCACGCCTAAGCAAACACACACACACACACACACACACACACACACACACACACACCAGACTTATTGGTGCATCATCTACAGTCCAGGGCGTAAGCAGAGCGCAGCTTCCCGTTTCGATTAGATCACATCAGATTAGGTGACATTACATTTGCACTAACCAGATTACACTATTCCTCATCTAACACACTTTACCTCCTAATGCTGCCGCCGCCTCATTACCCCGGACACAGCCAGCGATGAGCAAAGCAAAGTGCGTCTCCCTCACTTCCTTGTGCACTTGGACACGTTTCATCTCCCTCTAGGTGGTTCACGCACCTCAGTAGTCTTTTGTAGGTTCCCTTGTGCATTTCGATGGGTGAGAAAAGGTTGTTTTTTTTACGGCCCTGTTCCCTCGCCGTAATCTCGCATGATGTCTGAGGAATGTCGGATATACAAGCTGGAACAATAGCAGAGCAGAAACAGCGGAGTGGGAAATAATGACCCGGACCTCACTGTACTTCTCCTTCTGGCTTATCAATCGCATCTATTATAAAGCTGTGTGTGGATATGTGTGTGTGTGCCACAGGCACGGCTATAAGGTGTGAGTCTGTGCAGGGCTTTTGTGCCCTACAGTGTGTGTTCATACATGGTAAGGAGTGTGGGAGCAGAGCTCACGGTGTGGCCTGGATGTGCGGTGCTCATTTGTGTTCTTACACTAGTCTGTACATGAGTGTTGTATACGTATCTGCGTGTGAGGGCATTCATCGTGAAAAGAACACACAAACATCCCAAGTGCCCCGGCAGAGCATTTGTGTACCCCTTTGAACTTTTCTTAATCTCACAATGCGCGTGTGTGTGTGTGTGTGCGGCCGTTCATGAAGGATTTGCCGCCGCTTCCGCGCTCATAAGCGCACAAACGAATGGACACAATGAAGCAGCGCGGGATCAAACGAACAGATTCGTCCGTGTCTGTGAACCCAGACAGACAGACAGACAGAAGAGACAAAGACCGTGACAAAGAGGTGAGATGAGACGGAGAGAAGCTTCTTTTTCAGGAAGCCGACTTTTGGGCAAATGATTCTTCTTCTTTTTTTTAACAAGGAGGCAAGAGGGGAAATACGTCACCTCGCCCTCTTCTCTGTTTTCTACTCCATCAATTCAACATTGCACATGTGTTGCATGGTAGTACTTCAACTCACTTAACAAGTAACGTGATGAAACACACTTATGTTAAATCAGCTCCACTCTAATTCCCCAATTATTTCTCCTCGTTATTAATTTCCGTCATCTCATTTAACAGCTCAGCTCAGAAGAGCCATAGTAACAATTTAGAACTTGTTGGAGATGAATGTATTCTTTGATTTTATAGAACATGAGGACTTTATGAAGAATATTATTAATGCTAACATGACGATCCCATGATGTTCCCCCTACCAACAGTCAATGCTGGTTACATTTAACCATAATCTGTACAAAGTACTTCTAGTTGTCTAAATTTAAACCCCGCACATGGAGGCGGCAGATCAGAATGCGCTCGTATCAATCTTTTTTGGGTCACTTTGGAAGGCAGTTACGACCTATTTTGTCATTTAGGTATGATGACTTGCTAAAACTGGTAATTTATCATAAGCCAGTGTTTGAAGCTTCAGGCTCTCAATTATGGTGCAATGTTACATCTTGGTGTTGCTGGACCTTGTCTTGTGCCTCAGGGCCGACTGCTTCCTTCCTTCTAGTCTTAAGGGAGCAATGACTTAATACTAAGCAAGGACTTGTAAGGGTTGACTCGTTTAAACTCAGATACGCTGTCAGGGTGCTCTAATTGAAGTTTTCCGGAGACAGTTAGGGTTTGACTTCTAATGCTGAGCACACATGCTCCATAGTGAATGACCTACATCAAGTTTCAACCGCAACATTTCAAAAAGTTCTGCAAGTATAGCTGCCATTATGTAAGTCATTTACTTAGTTTGTTTTAGCTCAAATTAAAGAGTGACTCAACACCAAGCTGAAAAGCTTGGTTTCACAGCCCTGTTTGGTTTAGAACTTGAAGTCTGATGTCACAGCGTACTGACACGCCTTAGAGTACACTTCACTGCAGCATGGTGAGATATCGATGGAATACATTTTTTTAGAAATAGGCTTGGCTTTCGGGCGGGAGTTAAATGAGAAGAGCGATTACACTTCTCAAATCTGTACATTAAATATGAAGGTATGAGGAGCCGTAAGTTAGCCTAGCTTAGCATAAAGGGGGGGGGGGATCTATAAAGCTCAATAATAAATCTGTTATATATTTTGTTTGAAAAAGTTGTACAAAAAACAAAGTGTAAATACAACAACAATTCCCCTTTTTTAGGGGCGGGATTATGTGCCTGTTTACTGAGCGCTGAACTAAGCTAGCTATCGGCAGGCTGTAACTTTATATTTAATGGACAGGTATGAGTGGTATCAACCCTCTGTGCAAATAAGTGCATTTTCCAAAAAATGCTCCCACAACAAAACAATATTTCAGCTGGAGTTAAAGGGATAGTTGTGAATTTTCTTTTTGAAGTACGGGTGGGTCAGGTACTTATCCATAGTCAGGGTATACAGTGGATGGCTGTCGGCACATCCCCAGTTTGGAGTAGCGAGCAGGAATAGCAGCAGGGAAGCTAAGCAATGTACTGCTGTTTTTAGCCACCTCAAAAAAGATGGGGGAAATGGTTGTTCCAACATGCCTTCTTTAATTAAAGTAATACACATTTCAAATAAAACGTAAGCAGTCTTCCAAGCCACCGGGCTCCATTGACAAAAACAGTGACTTTAGCTGGCAGAACAGTGGAGCTGCTCGTCTACCGCTGCCTCGATTGGTTAGTTTCTTCGTGTCACTGTGTGACTTTGGTATTTTAAAGGGTTAGTTTGGAGTCACCAACGTCAATAACACAAACTAACTGATGAAGGCAGCGGTGGACCAGCAACTCCTCTGTTCTGCCAGCTAAAATAACTGTTTTAATCAAAGGAGAATTGTGGCTTTGAGGAGTGCTTCCATTTCATTTAAAATGTTTATTACTTTAAAGCAGGTGTGTTGGAACAACCTTTTTTCCCCATGTGACCGGAGAGCAACGTAACAACACCAGCGGCAATATTACATAATAACCGGCTCACCGTGTTTTTGGAGCTCCAGACAAACTGGTGCCCTGATGCAGCACGGTTATTCCACCGTTGATGTTACTCTCTGTGTTCCTTTCTCCTCGTGTATCCATGCTAGTGTTGACTAATCGCTGCTTAAAACAGTCGCGGTGTGCAGTGATTAGTGGCAGCCCACCAGGACAGGCTTAATGACACACATTGTGTTTACATTACATTACATTACCTCTTGGTTCATCCTGGGGATAATGGCTCTGCTGGGACGACGCCTCTATTTATACACACACAGAGGGATATTGAGACTGTTAGAAAAGCCAGTATCACACACACACACACACACACACGTGCGCACATTTGCTTACACTTTTACGATGGAGAACATGCAGACACGGATCGGGCTCTCGACACCTTCCATCTTCTGTGTCACGTCAGTGCAAATCGTGTGCATGACAGCGCGTTTGAGTTGTGTAGTGTTTATTGCGTGGAGATGAAAGGCCTCATGAGGCTTGTCCGGGGTGTCGCACAGCCCACAGACACATAACAGAGTCCCCACCGGCTCCTTTCTCCTCGCCGATAATTACGGATGCTCGTGGTGCATGCCTGATTTGCATACTGCGTCGCATTCGGATGTGCCGCGCCTTTTATCTTTTGGGCTCATGTTCTTTCTCTTGTCTGTCTATATTGCCTGTCTTTCTGTGTTTTTTTTCTTTTTCCCGGCACATGCACACCGGTTGTTTGATCTAGATGTGAGTGGCAGCCCAATTCTCGGATGAGCTTTGTGCAGGCACATTCAGCAGCAGCATTGTGATCAGTGTGTGTGTGTGTGTGTGTGTGTGTGAGTGTGAGTCCTGGTGTGAGATAAAAATAGTGTGAAAGGACAGATTTGTCATATTTGAATTGAATTTAGCCATTGGCATATTTGCTCTCCACAGTAGGTGTTGTCACTGTAGTCATATAAACGCCTTGTTATTTTACATGCACATCCAGAACGAGTTCAAAGTGCTGAAAGTCAAGCTGAAAATAAAGGAATTTTTTATTTTTTTCATCCCCTGATAAGTGTAGATACAAGCATCAACCATGCATTAACGTCTCCTCTCTTTTGGTCTCTGTGTGTCTGTCTGTCCGTGTCTCCGTCTCCAGCCCGAGGAGTTGACCAATGCGTTGGAGATCAGTAACATTGTGTTCACCAGCCTGTTCGCTCTGGAGATGCTGCTGAAGATTTTGGTCTACGGGCCCTTCGGCTACATCAAGAACCCCTACAATATCTTCGATGGCTGCATCGTGGTCATCAGGTGAGCGGCAGAGAAGGATTTCCTGACGACGGGGGTTTTCACAAAGCCCCGAAATGAAAAACAATCTTTTTCTCGCAGCTCTGCATATGATTGCAGAATCTGATTATAGAGATGAACATGAAGATATACAGTATGTGTGTGTGTGTGTGTGTGTGTGTGTGTGTGTGTGTGTGCCTCTCTTCTCTTTGGACAGCGTGTGGGAGATAGTGGGTCAGCAGGATGGCGGTCTGTCGGTGCTGAGGACCTTCCGGCTAATGCGGGTGCTGAAGCTGGTCCGTTTCATGCCGGCCCTGCAGAGGCAGCTGGTGGTGCTTATGAAGACCATGGACAATGTGGCCACCTTCTGCATGCTGCTCATGCTCTTCATCTTCATCTTCAGGTAGGCGGAGGAGGAGTGAGCGACCTTGCGTCCCGTCTGACACGGCTAAATGTATCGATTTCACAATCGGATCCAAAAAAAACGGGTGAACCATCAAAGTCAAAGAAAGTTGAAAATAGAAAACAGAAGAGGTAAGTTGAAGGGGCCGTGAAACAAATTTGGAGTTAAAAGCACAGTGGTGTGGAGTGAAAGTAAATTGGTAGATGAGTACATCGTGATGTCAATATGGGAAGCAAGGAGCAGAGAGAAGCTGTGATCAGTACAGACATGTGAAGGGGAGATCAGTCGATGGGGTGATAAGACTTAAGTGATTCCTTGTTTTCGTCAGCAACCCTTCCATTTGCCTGGTTAGGCCTGTGGCTGAGCTCAACAGAATCCAATGTGTGGAGGCTCTCTGCACACGCACACAAACACACACACACAAAACCTAACTACGCTACGCTTCAAATCGAAATTATTTCTCGATAAGATTTATTATGCATGACCAAACGGCGTCATCAAAGAACAAGAACAACATCTTTAGATATTTCTTATCAAATGTTTAACACTCAAAACCAGACATCATTTAATTCCTAAGGACGGTGTGGGTGTGGTTTGATCAGATTTGATTGACAGTGACCAAACAGTCCACTGACTGTCATCAGATTCTGTTTTAAATCATGCAAAATCTCGATTGTCTTAAGAGAGATGTTTTGTGTTTCCTGCCCAGGGACTACAGATGTAAATGAACTCATAGCTAACTCTGGTACAGCTAAGAGGGTGTGCAATAAACAAATACACATGGCCACTGATTTTGAATGAATTGATGTTTTAACTTGCTTGCAGGCAGTAATGTCGAACAACTACCAGTGACTGTGTTAGTAGAAACAACACTGTCACGATCTGGACTAAAGTCAGTGACAAAAAAAAAAAGGGAATCCCACATGAAGTACTTAAATAAACAATTACATGTACTGTAAAGTTAAAACAATTCAGAGCAAATCTATGATTGAGTGATTGCCTCCTCGCGGCGCTCAACACGGCAATGGCTGAGCCGCCACTGTTACTAACAGCGGGAACAGGGCCAACAATTGAATTGGTAAACTTGGGCAAAGTATCTCCACTCACAAGCAAGAAACTTTAGATTTTACCTCCATCTTAGTCGTGTGTGTTTGGTGTATCTGAGCAATGAGCGGCTTCATTTCGGCAGCTTGTTGGGATGTTTGTATACCCGACTGCACATATATGAGGCCACACATGCACTTCAGTAGACACACACGCAGAGCTCCAAGAGCCTTGTGTATGCGTATATAAACAGCCTTTGATTTGAGTGAAGAGTTGCCAAGTTGACACCGCAGAGGCCTGCTCATTGATCCCTCAGCTCCAGTTTAGCTTCAGCGTCTGTTTCTGAATAAAAGACTGCTGGTTCCATAATAGAAACACACCACGGATTAGCCGTCTTGCTGCATGTGGCGCTGAACTCTCTTTCTTGCGGTGTTTTCACCGCTCTGCGCTGCACAGATGAAACAAATGAGATGCGACGAGTTACGTTGGACGGAGCCAGGCTAGCTGTTCCCATCGCTGCTTCCAGCCGTCGTGCTAGGATGTGCTCATCGACTCCCAGCTCGATCTCCGTAAAGAAAGGAGATACTGTTGAACCGCTCCTTTAATTTCCAAACTATTGTAAACACCTTTTAGTTGGGTGAAATATTGCCTTTGTTTCTAATAAGTATGACTATGAAGGTGTCACTGACATGGTTTGTGACGCTCTCCATGGTGCTGAACCTGAAAAAACAAAACACTTCGTCTTCCTTTCTTGGCAACATCACTGTCACAATGCATTATGGGCCAACTGTTTATGAACCAATAACCTGTTTATTACCTGACTGACAGTAAATGGCGTTTTTGTTGCCTGTGCTACTTTTTGGGGTAATAAAACTAACTAATGAATACTTCTATTCACGCTTATTTGTGACAATCCCCTGAGCAGTAATTGTCATTCATGTTCAGTATATTCTGCCTGAGCTGCCATGCAAGCAGCAGGTATTATCAGTATGATGGAGTCAAAACATGTTTATTTCTGTTTATTTGTCCTGCATCTAACGGGTTGGCCTGACGTAAACATTTACCCCTCCGTTTCCTGTTTGTTTTCTCCTGGCTCTCCCTCCTCCTGTGTCAGTATCCTGGGGATGCATCTGTTTGGTTGCAAGTTTGGATCCGAGGGGCAGAGTGGAGACACCCTGCCGGACAGAAAGAACTTTGACTCCCTCCTCTGGGCCATAGTGACCGTCTTCCAGGTGAGCAATATACCCTTTTCTACCCATCCTCTACTCCATGAAACGCTTAACGCTCAACTTCACAGTCTGTTGATATGAGGTGACAATTTAGCAGCAGCATGACCTGAAGCCAATGCGACTGCATCCACCATCTGGAATCTCTGACTTCCTGTGTGATCAAACTACCGGCTGAAGTGCCCCGAAGCAAACCGGCATCTTCCCTGCTTCATTGGCGCTGACTGAACCTGTCCCCATTCGGAGGCTGACAATACAATTTCCTCCTGAATAAATAAAACATATCGAATCAAATATTCCTCTTCACTCTCGCTCCATGTCTGGCCTTTATCTAGCTCCCTCATTTTCTTCCACTCGATCTAATTCCCATTTCCAAGTATCTTATAGGTTAAGTAGGCCTGCCGCTTGCCTCATATCACCTTGGATTTGTGATTAGGCCTTCTGTCAGGTCCGACCATTCATCCATTATCTATCTATACTACTGTATGGTATTTATCACCCTAAATATAGCACCCATATATAATTCAGTGAAACATCTGATCAGAGATGATGTACAGTGTCAGCATGTCCTGCTGCACAGAAGATTGTACTGTCATGCGCGTTATTGCGATGGACGGTTTAATGTAGCTGCACTGATCCAGTCGACATTGTCTAACATTTCAGCATTCTGTCCTTTCAAATGAAGAACTCGTGGTGCAGAGAAGGCATTTATGTTTTTGACATAGAAATACAAGACTGATTACTGAACACAAATTCAACTTCCTCCTAGGCACTTCAGACCTCGTCAGTCTTGTGCTGTGTGTGTGTGTGTGTGTGTGTGTGTGTGTGTGTGTGTGTGCAGTAACAGTAACTGCAATACTTCTGCATTTAAGATTTGAGCTTCGTCCAAAACCGAAAAACACAAAAGCAGAAGTGTAAGGAATACATGAAATAGTGTGCTCTAATATAAGCTGTAAACGTTAGCATTTCCGGCTAACTAGCTTCTGTTCTACCTCTTACCCAATGTTGCTGTCAAAGCCAACTTGCACTTTGATAACAAACTACATTAGTTTGTGTGACGATATGTTTTGATAAAGCCTGCTCCTAACTAGCATATCCACTGTGTGTTATATCACCCATTATGTCGTTAGCTTAGCTGGCTAGCTTCAGCTGATGAAATCTGCCAATGACAGCATGGACGGATTAGTGAACGGGCCTGAAGGGCAGAAGCCTAAACGGTTGTCACTTCAGCCGTTAAAGTCATGGTTGCCAGCTAGCAAGGAGAAGCCCGCTTTTGTACCCAGACCTTGGCGTGGTAAACCTACCACTGTTAGAAAGTTAAACAGCATGAGTGCCTAGTTTGATAAGCATAGAAACAGTATCTAAGGGAGGACGAGGCTTAGCGAGCGGCCAATTTATCAAACAGATATTATTAAACTACCACAACAATTGCTGAACCAAGCTGTGCTCTTTCCCATAAATACTTTTTTTCCTCTCCTCTCCAGATCCTGACCCAGGAGGACTGGAATAAGGTGTTATACAACGGCATGGCCTCCACCACTCCTGTAGCCGCCCTCTACTTCATCGCACTCATGACCTTCGGCAACTACGTCCTCTTCAACTTGTTGGTGGCCATCTTGGTCGAGGGTTTCCAGACCGAGGTACAATGTTGCTGGTTGAGCTATTTCGTCTTAAATCTGAAAGCATCTGCCAAGAAATCGGCCACCGGGTTGAGATTATTTATCTCCATTTAAAAAGCAGGTCAACTGGTTGAATCTCGCACTGTGGTCTGGCTTGCTTCCAGGTCTTAACACAAATTATTTCTGAAGACAGTGAAAGTGTCTTGGAAAGTATTCTCATCATCATTCCGCCCTGTTTAAATGAAAATATATATATTATTTAATTATTTTTAGAAAATTTGCATTTGAGGCTGAGACATGAGGCTAAACTACTCAATGAACTGCATATTTGTTCCATGCAGGCACGCATAACACTAATGGCTGGATGTCCGCGCCCACACATACATTACCAACTCATGCACTGTAGGCATTAATTAACCTGTAGCCTTTCTTGCGCTCTCTGCGGCGGGCTATGCGAGGACATGAGAACACACAAGTTGCAGCGTTTCATATCCCCCCCCCCCCCTCCTCTCCTCTTCATCTTCACCTCGCTGTCATCCTCTTCTCCTCCCACTCTCTCCCTGCTATCTCAGCAGTCATCATTATGAGGATCATTATTGTTGCTGCTTATTTGCCAACACAGTCATGCCATAAAGCACATCATAAGAAAACTATGTCTGCTAGACTAGACGGTGCATCAGCCCGCATCACCTCGTTTCAGTCTCATGCTCGGGTGACTTCTTCTCATGCC